TGGACCAGACCCGGACCTGAGGCTTTTCCAGTAGCCTCAGACAAGCCACTCAGAGCTGAGGGGACCCACTCCTGGAGCCCAGCTCACATGCCAGCGGGGTGCACAGAGTTCCCCGCGGGGCACCGGGGAGCCCAGCCTTCTTGCCGGCTGCCAAGGAAGCAGTGGCCTGGGGCCTGGCTGGTGCTGAGTTCCTTTCCTCGTCCCACCAAGGCCCTCACAGCTCTGCACAGAGGGTCGTTTTCTTCCTCCCCCTCACTCCTCCCTCTCCCTGCCACCGCGTCTCTCTGCCTTACCCCCACACCTCTCCTCGCTTGTTGCTGGAACCACACCTCACTTGCTTTCTTAGAAGTAAACAAGAACCACAGTGAAGCATTAAGTCAGGGAATGGCTTCCAGAATGATGACAAGGCCCTTTCTCAGTTGGCAGGTGGGACGGCTGGATGACAAGTCTGCTGGCTGCCTCTCGGTTGTTTCCGCCAGGAGCACTTGGCGATGATGTGCTCCCAGAGCAGAACTGTCTGGCGTGAGGACAGAGCCTGTGGGACAGGATGCATGGCCCAGAGGCTGGGAAGCCACCATGTGAAGGAGCCTGGGCTGGGCCCGAGTCGTAGCTTCCGAGTGTGAGCCTGCCATGTACCCACCAGCTGTGTGACTTTGGGCAAGTTACTCTACCTCTCTGAGCCTCAGTATTTATTCTTAGCTCAAACTATAAGTGAAATGACCTCGATAAAAATGTGTCAAAAATCAAAATTTCTCTGGAATGTTGAACAGTCGCTCATATTTCATTCTGAATATGGGGAGCAAACAAAAAGAGGTTATGAAAATATTAAGGGCTGTATTGTACCCAATAGCTAAAGATTGGTAGGGCTTTTATTTGTTTGTTTCTCTTCAGTCCTTCCGTGGTTGAAAAGTTCATGCCTATTGCAAAATTTGGGGAACTCTCTGCATACTCTGCCCTTTCTCCTGTACCTCCACTTTGCAGACACGTTCTAGGGAGCTTACCCTAGAAACTCCCAGGAAAGCTAAGCTTCTGCAGACTAATGTCCCAGGTGTCATGCCAACATGAACTGTCTCTGGGATCACTGTGTATGACACAAATGTTATGTCCACATAAACGTTACAATCACCGAATGACGTTTTAAAACAGTGGGGCAACTCAGGCACAAGTGGCCCTTGGTCGTGGTCACCCCCACTGCGGAGTGCTATCTGTGGCCTTTGCCTTGAACACCTCCGGTGCCCCTCCTTCATCTCTTGCCCACGTTTTCCCAGCCGTCACCGTGGCAACCTGTGTGTGCAGGTGTCTTGGGCCAGGACCTGGCCTCAGCTGCCCCGCCCCGGCTTCTCTGACTCTGTGTCTCTGACTCTGATCCCTTCGTGGGATCCCAGAATGAATGCTCCCTTCCTTGGCTACATTCTTTTTTTTTTTTTTTTTTTTAATGTTTATTCATTTTTGAGAGAGAGAGAGTTCAGGGGACAGAGAGAATCCCAACCCAAGGAGGCTCTTTGCTGTCAGCACAGAGCCTGACGCGGGGCTCAAACTCTCCTACCGTGAGATCATGACCTGAGCTGAAGTCAGGCTGAACCACCCAGGTGCCCCCCTCTCTGCCTCATTTTACACAGCTCCCTGGCAGGACTTTGTGAGATGGAGCCTCTACCGCCTACTGTGGGGACCCACCAGAGAAAGTCCCCCCTTCCTTATGGGCTCCCCTTCCTTCCCTGACTCACTCTCCCCTGCCCCTGATTCATGATCTCCCTGGGGTCACCACCCATGTAAGTCACTGCACACAAACCCTGAGCCCAGACTTCTCTCCGGGAGGAATAGTCTGAAGCAGACACAGAGTAAAGGGGAAAGTGGGCTTCTCTAGGGACACTAATAACTGATTCTGACAGATCTTGTGGTGATCTGTGTTTTTCTCTTGGGCTTATTTAATAGGTTTTCAGACATTTTGCTGCAAAATTATTACTACATAATCATATATATACTATCTCAACTCTCTCTCTCTCTCTCTCTCTCTCACACACACACACACACACACACACACACGAACAAGTGATTTTTGTGATTCTAATGAGATCTTTTTCTATGTAACAATTACACCATAATGACAGTGGCAGTGACAGTCTGGATGACTGGCAGAGGAAGAAAAGTCCACCTTCTGTGGCCTCCCTGGGCTGGCCTCACACAGCCTCCCCTGCCCTTGGCCTCAGCTCTTGCTGCCCCTACATCAGGCACACCCACAGTTTAACTCTCACTGCCCAGAAAGCCCTTTACCCTCAAATCCAGGACCTTGAAGCCCATCTTTGGTTCCAAACATTTCTTTCCCTGATGTTTAAATGCAACCTTCCTGTCTTTTACCATTAGGTTCTATAAACCAGGGGTCACCTCAGGGTCCCGAAGGACCACTGGACCTTGGGAAGGGGAGGAACTGAATTCAAGCTTTGGCTCTGCCTTTAGCTGGCTAGATGGCCATGGACCAGCTCTGGGCTTCAGTTTTCACATCTGCACAAATGAGCCAGTGGATCAGACACTTTCCAGGCTACTTTTGCAGCTCTAGGTTCTTGTGCTAATGTAATTTTCTTCTTGTGAAAAAAACCCCACTGCTAAAAGAGTTTCCAAGCTCAGAGTTCACTCTAATGGGCTGTTGTGTTTATTTCAAAAGTAAAGTAGCTGGAAAAAATAAAAAGAAATGTTAAATTAGAGAGCACATCTAATAAATTCCCTAAGGCTTGTTAAGTGACCACAGGACAATAAAAAGACCAAAGTGTTGCCTCTGTTTATACACACACACACACACACACACACACACACACACACACACACACGGGTTTTTGTTGAGAAGGTGACTCCATTCTTGTAACAGTCTGAAATAAGCAATGCTTCATAATGTTCCTATTAATATTGATTCTTTTATTTGTGCTCAAAGACTCGAGTTTAGCAAATTTTAGTATGACCGCTGGTCACCGTGCAACCCGGGGTCCTTGGGGTCTTATTCCCTTTTGTTGTAAAATTTAGAATCAAATCTCTTCCAACTACAGCAATATGGGGTCTTTAAAAACCCTTTCTACCTTAGAGTTATTTCCTTTGAGCCCCACTAACATCCTTCACAGTAGGAATTCCCATTACCACGTAAGGGGTAAGAAGTTAAGGCGCAGAGGTTGAAGGACTTGCTCAAGGTCACACCCAGGCGCTGATGCCTGGATTTGTCAGTCTCGCTTATTTGCGGACTTCAACTTTCATGTAGAAAGCCTTTTTAGAAAATAGCTTCCCATCGTTTTATTTTGATGATCTCTAAGCCTTTTGAAAAGTTGACAGAATCGTACAATAAGTGCCCCCCCCCACCTCCACGTGCGATTCATGGAGAGTCACTGATTGTTAAAACTTTGCTACATTTGTTTTAACATTTTTTTTTTTAAATGTTTTATTTATTTCCAGGAGAGAGAGACAGCGTGAGCAGGGGAGGGTCAGAGAGAGAGGGAATCACAGACTCCGAAACAGGCTCCAGGCTCTGAGCTGGCAGTCAGCACAGGGCCCGATGCGGGGCTCGAACCCACGAACCGTGAGATCATGACCCAAGCGAAAGTCGGACGCTTAACCGACTAAGCCACCCAGGCGCCCCATATTTACAGCTTTTGCTGCACTGCGCAAAAGGAAATTGCAGCCACTCTGACACCTTTCCCCCTAAGTACTGGAGTATGTATCTCCTCGGAAGACATTTTCCATAACCACCACACCATCTCTCACCCAAGACACTGAGCAGTCATCAGTAGCATGACCGAATAAGCAATCTATGTTCAAATTTCCTCAGTGATTCCAAGCCTGTCCCTTGTAGCTTTTGTCCTCCTGGAGGTAGGAGCCAATCCAAAGCCAGGCACTGCATTTGGCCACCACGTCTCTTTAGCCTCCTTTATTCTAGAACAAGCCACCCCTCCTGTCTTTCTTGATGGTGACATCTCTGAATAGTCTGGACTAACTGTCTTAGAACTGGATTTGCTTGCTTGTTGCCTCCTGATTAGGAATCTTATCAAACAGGGAGTATCTGGGAGCACAGCTGCGCAGACAGTGACACAAATACCATCTTCCCAACCAAAGGGGAGAGTGTGCCCTGTTACAGCGAATGCTCACGGACTCACCTCAAGCAGGGACCAGGATGAACAGGCGAGTATCTCAATTAGAGCCACCTCAAGGAGGTGTCTGGTTACTTAAAAACAGGGGTCCTCGGATTGAGTAAAGAGGCGGAAAATTTGCAAAAACAACATATTGAGGAACCCAACAAAGGGTTGCCACCTCTTTATTTTTTCAAGAAAGGACATTAAAAAAACCCAGCATCTATCATGATTTCATAACTCGATGGTCATTTCATAAATAGAGGTCACTTTAACAGCAAGAGGCAGGAATCACAATCTCCAAACAAAGGTTCACCAAAGAAAGAGTAGGGTTTGTTTGTTTGTTTTTTTTATGTTTTATTTATTTCTAGGAGAGAGAGAGACAGCAGCAGCGTGAGCAGGGGAGGGTGAGAGGGAGAGGTAGTCACAGACTGAAGCAGGCTCCAGGCTCTGAGCTGGCAGTCAGCACAGAGCCCGACGCGGGGCTCGAACCCACGAGCCGCAAGATCATGACCTAAGCGAAAGTCGGACGCTTAACCGACTAAGCCACCCAGGCGCCCCGGAAGAGTAGTTTTCTAAAAAGCCTAGTTGGGAACCTTCTGCTGCTCATCTACATATATGGCTCACCTGGTCTCGTATTTCTCATTTTACTGTGACTTTGAGAACCGTCCAGAAGCCACAAGACCTCGGGACCCCTGACTCAAACAGCGTTCCCAGGAGTGAGGTGACTAGTAATCTGTGAGGTTGACTGCTTTGCTCTCCTTCACTGGTCTGCCTCTCGCTGGACAGACGGGGGAGAGGGGAGGGCAACAAAGGCAAGCCTGGGCCACCTGTAACAGGTCACTGTGAGCCACGCCACCTTCTGGACTCGGGGGGCTCCTCACCCTCCATTCTTACCTTCCCTGGAACCTGGTGGCACATCCTGAGGGGTGCTGTGGGCCTGGAGACACTGCACGCTCCTCAGCCTTGCCACCTCCTGGTTGCTGTTTTCCAGCCTCTTGGCCAGATCCTCATTCTCCTCCCTCAGTCGCCTCCTCTCTTCCTCCAGAGCTGCCTTGTCCTGGAGGAGGTTGCCGTAAGCGGTCTCCAGCTCCCTGCTGTGGGTCTCCAGCTGTGCTCGCTCCCTTCTCAGGGTGTCCAGCTCCCTCTGCAGCCCCTCCTGGGTCCCCGGGGGCCCAGCAGCCTTGTCTCGGGTCAGCTGGTGGAGGAGGCCCTCCAGGGAGCCGAGGCGGGCTTTGGCGGACTCCAGGTCCGCACGCTGGGCACGGCTGTCCCTCTGCAGCTCCTGGATGGCGGCCATGGCCTGGCCCCGCTCCGGGCAGCTGGACTCGTTGGGGCTGGCCACACTGAAGGTGTACTGGCATCGGCCACTCCGGTCATTGGCCTTCCGGAGCTGGGCTGTCCTGGCACCCAAGCCCCATACCAGGCAGGCCACGAGCAGCAGCCGGACAGCTGGCATCTCGGGCCTGCAGCTGCAGTGAGGTGTGGAGACTGGGTGAGGCTTCCCCGGGACGGCTGTGCTGCTCCGTGAGGTGTTTGCACGGGCAGCCCTCCAGTTCACGCCTGGGCTTCTCAGAGGTTTATATACACTGAGGAGCCACCCCGGCGTGGCAGGGGGCGGGAGGGGGGGAAGAGGTGGCCACGTGAGTCTGGGTGGGGCCGCGCACAGGGGGATTGTTTTCTCACGGCCAGCAAATCTTACAGTATGACATTCCAGAGGTCTGTTTTGAATTTCTTTTAAAAAACAATGTCTCACTTTATGCACCCCAGACCCCCCTAATATTCTCCCCACATCCCTACCCTGTTTTGTGCACACACATTCACACAAGCCCACTTCATCCAGCAGGAACTACTTGTGTGTCAACTCCAGTAAGGATTTCTTTCTAGTTTGTATTTCCATTTACCCTGCAAACTTTATCAAGATCTGCTCTGTGTCACGAACTGTGACACAGGGGATGCAGATCATTCCTAAGACACAGATCCCCTGTTGCTGTGGCAGTGACAGAGACGATAACAGCCAGCCAGAATACGAGGGCAGCTTTTCACTGAGCTCCAGGGAGCAGGGACCCTGTGAAAGCAGTTGGAAGCAGAATTCCTCCCTTTGTCCAAGCTTTACAACAAGTGTGGGTGTGTATTTGAGAGAACTTTCTAATTCTGGTCTCAGCCGACATCAGGCAGCTAAGTCAGTGATAGTCTCTAGACTAATTCTTACCTCGTGTGTTTGCGTGTGTGTGTGTGTGTGTGTGTGTGTGTGTGTGTGTGTGAGAAAGAGAGAGAGAGAGAGCGCAAAAGCATCTCAAGTCTCATTGATGAAAATCTATGGAACCCTTCTCAGGAAGATGTTTTTGTTGTTGTTGTTTTTAAAGTTTGTGTATTAGTTTTGAAAGAAAAGAGAGAGTGGGAGTGGGAGAGGGGCAGAGAGAGAATCCCGAGCAGACTCTGGACTGTCAGCACAGAGCCCGACACAAGCTCAATCTCAAGAACCTGAGCCGACATCAAGAGTCGGATGCTTAACCAGCTGGGCCATCCACGCCCCCAGGAAGGTGGATTTAGATGTGTGAAATGTATAGAACAGTGAAAGAAGCACCAGATATTGAAATACTACTATCAAAATATTTTTAAGATGTGAAATATACATGTCCTTCTTTATTAACACTAAAATTAATTTCTTAAAGCAGGCTCCACACCCAATGTTGGGCTTGAACTCACAACCCTGAGATCTAGAAACGTGTGTTCTACCACTGAGCCAGCCACACACCTCATCTTTATTGACATCAAAACCAAGGCTTCTTAGGGGCTCCTGTATGGTTCAACAGGTTAAGTATTTGACTCTTGATCTCAGCTCACGTCATGATCTTGCAGTTTGTGAGTTTCAGCCCTAAGTCAAGGTTCATGCTGACAGTCCGATTTCTTCTTGGGATTCTCTCTCCTCTTTCTCTCTTTCTCTTCCCCTCCCCCCACCCACAAATACATACACAATAAAAAATTTTGAAAATCTGTTTTTAATGTTTATCTTATTTTTGAGAGAGGGAGAATGACAGAGGGTGAGTCAGAGAGGGGCCGAGAGAGAGAGAGACACACAGAATCTGAAGCAGGCTTCAGGCTCCGAGCTGTCAGCACAGAGCCCTATGCCGGGCTTGAACCCACAAACCGTGAGGTTGTGACCTGAGCCAAAGTCGGACGCTTAACCAATTGAGCCACCCAGGCGCCTTGAAAACAAGGTCTTTTAAACACTTTAAAAATAGAAAAGAATGTCTAATTTCAAAGTAGTTTGAGTGTAAACACTGTTTTATTGCATAGTACCTGCACCAATCACAATGTAACATAAAATGCCTGTGATTTCTATTGGTAATGACAATACAGGTACTGCTCATACAACTTTGGATTTATGGCTGTTTCTATCACGGAATCAAGTGTTAAGCCTAAAATTCAGTTAGAAGGTGGTGAAAATAAAGATGAAATTTTTTTCCTCTCCTAGGTTAACAATTCTCTGCTTTACATTAACAAACCTAAAGAGCAAACAAACAAATAACAAATGAAAAAACCCATCAAATATGTTAAGAGGAGGTCCGTACAAATGAGAACATATGTAGCAACCTCACCAGTTACTTTAAAAAATAACATTTGCCTTTGAGCGATTTCTGTTGTTTGATACCAAAAACATCTTCAATATTGGGAAGGAAATATTTCAGATGTGCCCTTGGAAGATTCACCTCAAGTTTGGGAAAATACTTTGCTAAAAAGATTCTCTGGTTCTAGAGTTAGACTTGAAGTTGAGACATTCACAAACGGGTGCCTGTTTACTGCTGACTAGACAGTCCATTCTATTCTCAGTTCCTGAATCTGATAATAAACATTACCAAAATGATTTTTAAAATTATAGTCAGCGAGAACTGGTTCAAATGTTTGGCTCTACCCTCAGGAATGTTTTCTTCCTGTTAAGAGAACTAAGATTGTTCCTCGGGGGAGCAATCCACAGAGGAAAGGAGTTCTGGATAAAGAAAAACATTAATTTTCCTGCCTTCAGCTTGCTCAGGATTACTCTGTTTGCAAGGGAAGAATATAGGAGTCAGACTCAGTGTTCTGACTTGCCTTGGATTGGGTTCCTTTCCATAAGATAGCACCCAGGGGTGCACAGCCCAGAACTCCCGTGGCTCTTCCGCTCAGTTCCCCCTGCACTTTAATGAATCTTCATCTTTCTCCCCCATGCTCCAGACCTTTCCTTTCCTTTATCTCCCCTAGCTGCAGGCCAGTCCATGGCATGAAAAGTCAAACAGTCGCTGTTGAGCCTCGTGGGTGCCAATCAGGCGGGTAAAGAGTTGAACGATCCCAGCATTTTCACTTGGTCCAACCCAGGTTTTGAACGCCAAGCGAGAGCTACCACCAGTCCTCACTCGGTGTTCTTTATGGGCTCTAGCAAATGCTCAGGAAAAGAAAATGGGCTGCTGGGTTCACAGACACCCCCTGTCCCCCCACGGGGCTTCAGCTCCTGGAGCTCTGCTTGGCTGCCCGACTTTTCAAAGCCTTCATGGGGCTTCAGCCACAGAGGACACTTACAGATGAGAAAACTGAGGCCCAGGGAAGAAGAGGATGTGCTCAGGGGGCCCACAACCAACGAGTGGTAGAGCCAGAAAGAAAACTGAAGTCTTCTGATTCTGAGGTTTTCCACCATCGTATGTAGGCCACGTGCACCCAGTGCCCAGGAATTGCCCAGAATATATGAAAGACTCCAGTCACTTCTTCCAGGAACTGATGCTCTAGGAAATGAGCTAGCTTCCTATATTCCCATTAAATAAAGGCCTTCATGAGGGAGAACTCATGCACACCCTTTGGTTTCTACAGCTGATCGTATGAAACTGCATTCTCTCATCAAATCAAAGTACTCTCCCAAAAGCAGAGAAAGGGGCTCACTGCACTGCAGCCACGGCAAACTCCCAGCCCGTGAGCAGCAATAACCATCTGGTGTGCTCTTTTCACCCTCCTGCCTGTCCCCACCCTCCCTGGGCCAACACCCCCACCTCCTGGTATGCCTGGACCTGGAGCCCATTTCCCTCTGAGGAAACACTGTCCGGTCCAGATTCGCTGTTCGACTGTGTTCCACGTCCATTTCCCTTCCGGAGCCTGGAGCCAGAGAGCCTCCAGCTCAGATGCTGCCAGCAGCCGGGAGGACGCTCATGGGGTGTGTCGGTCAAGTGCAAACTGGTGCCCCTGGCTGGAGCAGGCATGGAAGATGCGGGACTGGGGCCTCCTGTACGAGATGGAGGCAGCAGGGGCGCTAGGGAGCAGCATTCGTAAGGCGCATCACTCAGTTCCATTCAAGGTGGTGTCTATTTCTGTTCATTTAGTGTTGAGTTTCCACTAGCTGGCTTTCCAGCAGAGAATGGAGCCCCCACGAAGGTAAAGCTGTGACCGCTTTGCTCACGATTTTGTCCCGTGTCTGGCAGATATAAGCACTCGCTAAATTTTCAGCGGATGCATGCATGGCTACAAAATTCAAACCGACATAAGAGCAAAAGGGCCCCAAGGAACACAAAGCAAGTGGCACTGTCTGGCAGGCTGCTCAGGACACTCTGGGCACCTCCCGGGTGTGTGCTGGTAGCGATTCCCCAGCCCCTGAGGAAGCTCTGAGGCATGGGACAGGCGGCACACTCCCCTCCCCTAAATGCACGCAGATAGCCTCAAATGGGATTACTTCATGTATACCTTTATTTCGCTACAGATGATGAATTAAAATGTTAACTTAGCATGAAAATGAGGATGAGGGAACCGACTGGGGAGAAGACGCAGTCTTAAACTGGGGAACGGGGACCCCGTTCTCTGCCCTGCCCCTTTCATCTGTTTCTTTGGGGGCCCATTATTCAAAGGATTCTTTTAATGTTTATTTATTTTTGAGAGAGAGAGAGAGAGAGAGAGAGAGAGAGAGAGACTGAGAATGGGGGAAGGGCAGAGAGAAAGGGGGACAGAGGATTTGAAGAGGGCTCTGAACAGACAATAGTGAGCCCAATGTGGGGCTTGAACTCACGAACCATGAGATCATGACCTGAGCTGAAGCTGGTCACTCAACTGACAGAGCCACCCAGGTGCCCCTCAGATTCATTATTAAGCACCTACTATGTGCTGAAGGCTGGGAGCATACCCAAGTGTGTCAGAAACAGACCCCACTCTGAAGGAGCTCTCAAGCTGTAGCTACAGGTAAGGCTATTCCAGGAACCAAGTGCTGGAGAAGCCCAGGGGAGGGAGATTTCCCTCATGAACATGGAAGGCTTCAGAGAAGAGATGGCATTTGTAACGGGACCTAATGAGGTCACATGTTGACAATGGCCAAGGCACTGTGGTTACAGGTCTGCCTTGGATTCATATGTTCAGGTTGTGTCCAACGACAAGGCAGGCAGGGCCACTTTTATTTTATTCTATTTTATTTATTTTTATTTTTTTACAAATAGCTTATTGTCCAGTTGGTTTCTATAGAACACCCAGTGCTCATCCCCACAAGTGCCCTCCTCCATGCCCATCTCCCCCCTCCCCCCCCATACCCATCAGTCCTTA